TTAAAAAACCCTAATTTTAGAAGAAGAAAAAAAATTTCAAGTGGAAAGGATTACAGGAATGTCAACTGAGAACTCAGTTCTTGCAATTCCCACGTTTTGTGATGATTTCAGGTTAAAAGTAAAGAAAACGCCAAGCTACTTCGCATCTCAGAGTGACCAGACCTCACTCTCTCTTCACATACCTGGAGTAAGAGATTGATTCTGAAGGAAAAAACCCGGCTGCTGGGGCTGACCCATGAGGTTGTAGCCCCACAAGGTGGACTGTGGATGGTGCAACATCTGGGAGGAAATGGGTGAGTAGTTAGGAGGCACTCGGTATATGTTGCTCTGTGGATACTCCTTCAACATAAAGTTAAAAAAAAAAAGTTATTTAATCTCACAAACTATATAGATAATGAATGCAAGTTCATCGTATCACATTATTTGAGCCAGTGCCTGTTCCAGTGGATAGGGCTGTTTTTATAGAGGGGAAGATGGAAGGCAAGGGTGTCAGCGTGTTCTCTGCCAAACACTCATTTGAGTAAAAACTTTTGACTCAGGAAGCACTTAAGAAGTGGAGGGAAAATATGAAAGGATCACTTCTGAAGTTTGTTTTTAAAATCCTAAAAGCACATCAACACTGACCACTGCCTACAACTGAAACCACATCTTCAGATGCTAAGTCTCTGGAGATCATTTCATCTTGGGTCACCTTAGGAAGCCTTGCTGGTATGTTAGGTCTGGATGAGAATGAGGCCAGAAAGACCCACAATACTTCAGGACCAGTCCCTGGCCTAGACAATATTTTATTGCTAGTTTTCAAGGCAGCAACCTTAAGACACAGACTCTCCACCATCTGCCTGTACCCCGCTCTCCCCACCCAGATTTCGTCTTCCTTCTAAGAGATGCAAAGTCTTTAAGGTTCACATCCAGATGTCTCAATTTCCCTGCCACCCCTCAGCCCCCTTCTCTTAGTCTAGCCCTAAAGGATAAAGGAAAAACAAATCCTTGGATCTCTGAAATATAACCCGCTGGGTAGGGGCAGTTCCAGAAGTAGTATGGGAGGAAGGGACATTACCAGGACTCACTCAGGAAATGAGAGAAGTTTTAGGACTTTTGTATCTGAAAAAAAAACAGAAATCTATCCATGTGGACTGATGAGCTAGGAGAGTCCAGATTTTAGGAAGTGGCAGTCTGGATCTTTTTGAACACCTCTTCAAGACAAAGGAATATTGGCAGGAAGACCATATGAAAAGAGGGCATTGCCATTCAAGTGGCATCTAAAAGTGATGATGGTCTTTTCTAGAAAAATATTAATCACCAAGATATCAGCTAGGAAAATGTAAGTTTTGGTTCTGACATAGGTAAATTTTAATAATTAGACATGACATCTGAATATGACATCATGAAATATTCAGAACAAATCTGAATATTTCTTCCATTGTACAAGAATACCCTTGAATTTTATACAAAATCTCAAGTATTTTTCCAGGTGAATTTAAATGTAAAGACATTTTTACACATTAATTCTATAAATGCTATAAAATTATTTCCAAATTACCATCTCATACATTTCTGTTGTTTTTAAGAACATGCAGTTATACGTAGGTAAGTTTAATAGGGAAAAAAAGAAAGGGAACTTTTTAAAAATTGTGTTTATCTTTTATAAAATCTAAAAGTATGTTAAAGAATACACACATAGAGACACACACACACACACACTCACAGAGGATAATAAGATGGAATGCTAAAATACAAAATCTCAGAAACATCCTACTGGATATATTAGATGACATGTTAGCTAGGGAAATGCAAATAGTTTTTCACATTAATTTACTACAGGTGTCAGCTGCTCAAAATATGATAAATATTTTAAACATGAGATAATACAAATATGTAAGAAGATGAGATTTTTAGGGATCTAAGAAATTCAAGTTTCAAATGTGAGGAATTATGAGGCACTGAAATATTAATTAAAGATTATTCACAAGAGAAGCCTAAAATTAAAGTAATGAACAGTAGAGGAGGGAAAATCAGAAGCTATAATCCTGTTGTCTGTGACAAGTCACTGTTCATTTGCCATTCTATTAATTAAGACAGAGCTTTGTTAGGATTACAACTATTACGATAAGGCTTCTAATGCTTTTCCTGTTGCTAGGGACAGACTCTGGGCATGATTAAATCTCCCACTAGGTGTTAGTGAGCCAAAGGCCTCCAGACTTCCCTTACTCACATCAACTCTCGAGCTTGATTTCGTCTTGCGCTTCCTTCCCTTTGTCTTCTTCTCCTCGTCTGTTGTGGTTTTTCCCTGATCTGACAGCTCAGCTGATTTCCTCTCTGGCTCCTGAGAGACGGGAGATGTGGGCTCTTCCTCTTCCTCCTCGGGAGGCAGGGGCAGTGGCTCGAGGTAGTAACTTCGGGGCTTGGGCATGGGGTGTGTGTGATACAGCAGCAGGTGATGCTGTTCCTCATACTTGATCACCTTTCGGTCCACTCGGACAGTCCCAAACCAGGCCCAGGACAGAGGTGCTGGGTTCTTCTGACCCTCAAACAAATCCCAGGGGGACACCTTCTGCTTTGTAGAGACCTGGAGACCCTGTGGTTGAGATAATGCTCTGTGAGCTCACGTTCAGATCTTTCCCTAACTCAGAGGCAAACTTGCTTAGGACATGGATGCAAAGAACATTCTTGCTGGTGGGGAGGTTTAGAGTGCCCTAGCATACAGCAGACAGGTAAATGCAATGGCTCAGGGTTACCCAGCTAGATCACTGGAGAGCCACGGCAAGAATTCTGACCCTGAAGTTCAATTCTGCATTTCTTTAGGCCACATGATATTCTGTTCAGGCTGCAACACCAGATGGTCCAGTATACTTTACTATAAATAGGTATTTTTTCATTTAGGGCTTTTATTGCTTTGTTTTGCTTTTAGGAAAAAAACACTTTCTGGAAAGTACTGCAATGTTGACCTTTATTAAATTATCATAAATTATAACTCCTTGTAACCTAGTTTTTGTTGTTGTTGTTGTTTTTGAGATAAAACAAAACTTCAGAGTCAAGTTACAGTCAGCCTCTAATTGGGCTCAAATTAGCTTCAGTCCAAACATGTATGGGCTTGATTCAGTATAGGAATCTTTCACATACTTAATAAGCCAGTTTCTGAATAGTTAAGGAATACTACTACAGAAGTAACTCATACCAACAGGTACAAAGAAAGTCCTTTAATTCAAGCTTCTCTCCACCAAGTTTAGAAGAGGAAATGTTACTCTGTTTCTGAAAATAAAGGTTTCTTATTTTTAACATTAACTCGTGATGTCTCTTGGCACTTTCCCAGGCATACCAACTTGAAGAAAATATTTTTCCTCAGAATGACCCCAAAAACAACTACTCAGACATTCCATAAGATATAAATGCTCCTGTTCTTATCAACACAAGTCTTCCATGGATGGATTAATCCAAAATCAAGGTTCATTTACCATGTATGTATAAATTGACTGTTTCCTAATACTGTCTTGAGCTTGGACCTCTTTCCTGAGTGCAAAGACCACATACCCGAATGGTTTTTAGATGTCTCACCACTAGAGAGCTGAATGAATCTGCAAACTCAACCTGCCCATAACACTAGCTTTTTCTGTCTCCACAGCCACACTGGTAAGAGTACTTGGGTTACTCTGAATTGACGCAGCATTGCATTTCTCCTAAGAGCCGCATTCTTTCTTACCTTTGCGAAAACTCTTCCATGGGCCTGTATAATACTCTTCCCTACTTCCCAGCTAACTCTTAATCCTTCAAAATAATTCAAGTCTCCGTTTTGTGGGGGACCCTATTCTGACTATCTACTCCTTATCTGAGGGTGGGTGACAGCAATTTCTCAGGGCCCCCTAACCTCTGTACCATGACACACAAATCTCACCACACTGTCATTGTCTACTTCTGCTTAAGGGTAAGAGCTCTGTCTTTCATCTCTGTGGTTGCTCCATGTTCACTGAAAGAACAACCACTCTTCTCATATTTAGGGGAAACTTGTTTAATATCCTATATAAAACAGGCGTTCAATGAAATATCGTTTAACTGAGGAGAAAATTAAGTACCATCGCCCTAAAAATATTTTTTACTCAAAATAGCTTACTACATGAAGAATTTATCAATCAAAATTTTCTCATCTAAACATATTGTTGTCAACTCTGAAGTAAAATCAGACTGGTCTTTGCCTTCTTTTATTTTTACAATACATTAAAAAAAATTATTTATTTGAGAGAGAAAGCACTCTGTTGAGCAGAGAGTTAGGGGCTGGGCTCTATCCCAGGACCCTCGGGACCCCGGGATCACGACTGAGCTGAAGGCAGATGCTTAACCAACTGGGCCACCCAGGTGCCCCTTAACAATACATTTTTACTTAGTTTTCCTTCAGCAGGTTTCAACAAATTCACTTAAGTTCATGTAGAGCATTAAATGAATATCTATACAATAATGCCAATGACCAAAGCATTGAAATGATAAGACTATGCTTAAAAAAAATAAGAAACTGTAAAATTGAGGCATTTCATATACCCTATAGGAAGACAAGAAAATATATACAAGAAACAAACATTTACTCTTGCCTGTTTTTTATCTATAGAGTCGAATCCAGCAATTTTGTTTCCCTTTGTGTCAATCAAGGAACCCATAGGTTCGCAAGTGATGACATCACATGTCTGTTTTGGCAAAGGTAGCAACTGTCGAACTTTGTCAATACTTTCTGATCTCTTGTCTCCTAGCTCTTTCTAAAAACAAACAAACAAACAAACAAAACAAAAAGAGATAGAGAAGTGGGACAGAAATTACAACGAAGGCAAAAGTTGGTGAGAAAGAAGTTTCTCTATGAAACATTTCCTTTTTTATAGCCAGAATGTTCTTTAACCTTGAACATGGTCTATGATGCTGCTTTCAGTTAGAGTAGTGAGTATGTTTCATTTCTTCTATTTAAGTAGAAAATAGAACACATACAGTGGGACCCTGGTTACACAACAAGTATCGCAGTGCTGAAATGACAAAAATCCCGTGTAGTAGTTGCCAGCAGAAGGCAGAAGCTGCAGCACGGAACACGTTCTCAAATCCAGGGTCAGACCTCAAGGTAATCATTGGTTATTTTATTGATATGGTCGTCAGATATATCGATCTTTTTTCTTTTCTGCACCATTTGTTTACAGTTTACTTCAAAGATTGAATTATTGGTTTTTCTAATGAATTGGGTTTAGAAATATCAATGTAAATGGTTACTTTTCAATTATACGGGCCAGTCCAAGCATGGATTTATCCTAAATCCAATGTGGGCATCTTTGTTATACATTTGATAATAGATTTCTAGAGTTCCTTGAAAGTTAAATATTTTGTGAATATCAATTTTTAAAGAAGTATCTTCAAGCTATATGCTTATAACTTTTGAGAACTAGTAAGCTGGTAAGGCAAATAGCAAAATAACCACATAACATCTAACTTAACACAGTAAATTAAGGTAAAATGCAGTAAAAAACTAATGCATAAACTACCTGAGATCATAATATATAAGCAGGTCACAAACTTACTTTCAGTTTCTTTACTAAATTCATGTATGCACGTTTGTTCTCTTCAGATCCTCCTGGGGATGCATTTGATAGGTCTGAGGCTAAAGTTCCATTGATTAAAACACCCAGCATGTCAAGAACTGTTGTGAATAATTCACTAAGAGGGGGAAAAAAATAATTCATTTTCACCTTAGAGCAAAACCAAGATACCCTTAACTAAAAGCATTTTTATTTAAGGCAAAGAACTTTTGATGGTAACTAAGAGAGTAAGAGGTGATTTGTAGTCAGCCTATCAAAGCTTCTACTAGGCACGTATGTGGCGTGCTAAATGTGAAGTAAGAACATACTTGTTAGTGTGCATGTCAACAGTTCCAGAAGTAATGATCTGGAGAAGGAGGAGGGCCCAATCTGTCGTCCATTGGGTGCTCCTCTGCACAGTGTCAAACATTCCGCCCACCTGGCACAAGAAAAAATACAATAAAACTCTATTACAATGAAAGTACCATCCCCATCACTTTATGTAGCCAATTTTGATTTGTTAAAAAACAAACAGACAGACAGACAACAATAACAAGACTCTAATTTATGGGTTATCATACCTTCTCTCTTACCTAGCTACCTATTTGTCACTGTTTTTTGGTTCCTTCAGCACAGGTATTTGGTCCTTCAAAAAAAGGGGGTGGGGTAGGAGGAGAAGAGGGACCTGAGTGTGGGCACAACATCAATATGAATTAAATAATAGGAAAATTAACTTTCTTTTGTTCCTAATCTTACATAACACCCAGTTTTACCATATAACTTTAGTCCAATCTGAAGAGATCAAAACCAGGTGAGTTGTTTATCTATGACTTTGTGTTATTCAATTACTACTGCATCTAAGCCTGTTATCATACTAACACTTGGAAATATCCAGTAAAACAGAAGACTGAGGAGCAGGAGGCCTGGCCCCAGGTCTACTCACTCATGTGTGGGAATTAAGTTAACGACAACTGCCAAATAACAGGCAAGTCCTCCTCCTCCTCCAGAGTAGACTTCACTGAGAATTGTTCAATGGGAAAAGAAAAATTCAAAGAAATGTGCAATGTGTGAGAAATTTTCGATGTCTGTATAGCCTCCCTGTCAAATTTGTTCTAATGACCAATCTGATGGAGAGTCTGACAAAAGTTCGACTTACGGCACATTTTTATATAGAGGTTTTTAAATGAGTATAATAAAAGCTAATTCATCTCAAAACAGTAACCTTCTCAGACCTACTCTTAGCACAAACTGAAAAGAACGAGAGGTTCCCTGGGGTGGGAGGTACAGAAAGCAAACCAATGCCCCAAAATTCCTACGCCCTCTAGAAGTCAGACCAGACAGGAAGCTCAGCACCAAGGAGGACAGACACGTGAGAGACAGGGGAGTTGTCAAAGCAAACAGTGGAAGGCCTCACACCTTATAATGAAGGGGATAACCAGAGAAGAAGTGGAGAGCGAGAGGCTATTTTCACATTTAGGTTAAGTGTAATGGAGGGAATGCACTAGAAATGCCCCTTACCAAATTTAGGCGAAGTTGCAATGCTTCATGCATCATCTGCCGTGCTTTTATGTCGTCCTGGTATCGTTCTTCTCTCCAATTACTCAAAATCTAAACCAGCAAATAAATGGGAGAACCCAAAACTTATTTTCCCTATTAAAGTGGATTGTTTTTCTTATATTTAAAGTTATACTGAGCTTCCTACTGACAGTCAAAATAACTTCTTCCTTTAACGAATAACAAAGCAAAATAAAATTTTAGCTTTCTTCCTTCCTTCCACGCAGACAGAAATCTGGCTATTTCTGGCTGGTTGCCTTTCTAGGTGGAAGAAGAAAATTCTCATCTATTTACAATCCTGTTAAGTAAGCCTTAAAGAAAATGCTTTAAAGGAAGATGAAGTTAAGATTAACAAACAAAAAAGATTATTTTTCAATATGTTATTTCACTGGTCTTACTAAGATAAATACCGAACAGACAAAATTACATCTTATATCAGTTCTGTGTTACATTTCTAGGGACCTCCTATGAGGTCACATGTATTATTTTGATGTTATATTGAAGGGAGGGCTTGCTGTCTTCCATGTCTGTCTTCATTGATAAAGAAGTACGTACTATTTTGAAAAATATGACAACTTTGACATCAGTCAAGTGGTGTACTGTTCTACAAAGTGAGTGCTTTCACTGATTCAGACTAATGTTAGAAAAGGGAAGGTCTGCTTAGGAAAAGCAAACCACAAGTGGGCAACACCCTAGAATCAGATGACGAGGGCAAAGTCCCTCCCCCTCTGCCATGCTCTGAAATATGGTAACTATTGAGAATCATCTTATGAGTTAAAATGAGTCACATGTGGAAGTAACCCTGCCCAGTAGATGAGCTGTAAGTATATATGGCATGATGAGAGGAGATCATTTCTTCAATCTCATCAATATAGAGTCCTCTCCCAAGTTGGACGTGAGGGTCCAAGACAGTAAACACAAATCTGTATCACGGCTTTCATTCTATCAACAGGAAAAATAAAAATAACAAGTAGCATGAACCAGAGCAAGGGGATACTAAATGACCAAGGTCCAATTTTTGGAAAGTAATCAGGGAGGGCCTCCATGAGGAGGTGACAGCTGAGCCCAGAGTTGATGAAATGAGGAAGCAATCCTCCTATTATCTAGGAAGAAAGCCTTCCATGTGAAAGGAAAAAGAGATATAAAGGCGCTGCAACGAGAATCTGCTTGCCAAGTTCAAAGGATAGCAGGGAGCCTGGTGGCTCAGTCAGTTAAGTGTCTAGCTCTTGATCTCAGCTCAGGTCATGATCTCAGGGTCGTGGGGTAGAGGCCCACCTTCGGCTCCATGCTCGGTGAGCAGTCTGCTTCTCTCCCTCTTTCCATCCCTCTGCCTTCCCCCCAATCATGCTTGCTTGTTCTCTAAAATAAATTAATTAAAAAAAAATAGCAATGCGGTCAGTGTGAAAAGTAGAGTGAGCAAGGTATGAGTGGTAGGAAACAAGGCAGAAGTGGGAGCCAGGGCAAAATCATGCAGGCCTCAATAAGCCCAGACTTTGAATTTTTATTCTAGACATAGTAAGAAACACTGGAGTATCTTGGGCACCAGAGTAACAGCTGATTTACATTTTAGAAGGATCACTTTGGCTGCTGTGCAAAGGATAGATCTCTTAGATCTTAAAGGCGAGAGATGATGAGAGGCCCAAATGAGTTAAGTATCCTTGTTCACATTCATCTAGTATCATCTACGAGAAAGACATGATGTCATAGAAACAGAGGGCCATATGAGGGTTCCATTTGGCTCTGTAGCAGGATAAAACATTCTACATGACAAATCTACCTACTTTGCTCAATTCCACATTTTCCAATTTCTAGTTTCATCACCCCGCTTCCTTGGAGTACACAGAATGCAAATCCCCCAAAGAGTGACCAAGAGAACTGTGGTTGGTAGAAAGCCAAAATTTAAATTCTTTGTACACGAATCAATATGCCTTCTGATTTTGAAATTAGCACTCAAGCTGAGACCCTCCAGATAGGTGGGGGCTGAGCTGGAGAAGCTGGAGAGAGGTTCCTCTGTCTTAACACCATACATGCAACACACATTGCTCTAGGACCTCTCCCACAACACAGGGTCAGGAGAGGAGCAGATGTGTCAAAGTTGCATGCAATGTACAAAATATTATTTTTAATGGACACAGACATTTATTCAATGCATAATTACTGTTACAAAACTGTGAATCTTGTGATGCCTAGAACACCAGGTAGGAGAACAGGGCATGGATTGCGTCTCCCTGCATCTAACCAAAATATGCAGTTATCTTATTAATCTCAGTATTTGAAAGGAAAAAAAAAATGAATGCCATTAGAAAAATACTTGCCTGCCTTAATAGTCTAGTATACTTTACCTGATTAACTTGATTCTGAAGAGATGTTAGGAGGCCTTCCCGTTGTTCATCTTGTCCCTTAAGGCAGGTAAGGACCAGTGAAAGGAAAGGTTGTTGACTCAAAAGAGACATACTACAAAGGAAGTAGTAACAGCAGATCTAGTTAGAAAGGATGGATTACTTCCTGTGCAACATAGATCTCCTGCCCTTCGGTTATTGGCCCTTATTTATTTTACTATTAGCAAAGGGAAAAGAGTAGTAAATAGCCAAAGCCTACCTGAAAAGTTAATCATAGCTCTACTAATAAGATTAAAAGCCACTGTGATGCTTCCAAATAATTTAATATGCTCTCTTGTCCTTGAAGGCATTCCCAAACTAGCATAAATTCATACTGCAGGAGCGTGTTGGGGCAGTGCAGTGAGAAGAGCGTTTTTGTTTCATATCAGTAAGCTGAATTTGAAAGACGTACATCAGCAGGAATATCACTTTATACACAGAACAAAATGAAAAATTTTAAAATTTGTCACACCCAGCTATTGTAGTAGAGCCAAGGAAACAGGCCTATATGATTTTTGTGCTTGTGTTACTTTTTAGCACATTTCTTAAGACCAAACAGGGTAGGTACTGAGAGAAGTAAGATCAGCACCTAGGTCCTGAGGATCCAAAGGCAGTAAGCT